TCCTCCCGAGATGGTTGGGGTCCCAGGAAGACACCGAACTGACGCTCCAACCTTCCGTAGTCAAAGTCGAGGAGCTGGTCGCTTCCTGGGGTGCGGGCCTCCGGTGCGTGCAGCTGCAGCTCCTCAAGCGCCTCGGCGATCGCGTCGAGGCTGGTGGAGTGGAAGGGTTGAACGATGACGGGCGCCCACGCCAGCTCTCCCTCTGCCGTGATGATGAAGTCCATGTCCTCAAAGCGCACGTGTAAGCCCGGGACCCAGCTGATGCCGTGACTAGCCATCCAAGGCCTGGTGTTGATGTCGAAACGCGCAAAAGGCCCCTACCTGGAGCGCCAGCTGTCGGTGTTTCAAGTAAGCACCGGCTAGTAAATTTGTATATTGCGAGTCTGACCCGGATGGTGTGCTAAGAGGACACAAGGATTATACTGGTTCGGACCGAATGTCCCTACGTCCAGTTTCGGGCTGCTCGTGTTACCAGCACTAAGTTTGTAGTAGGGGTTACAAACGGGCGAGAGAGGGAGGTAGCTCCCAAGTCTCTGGTGTGGTGCGGTGTGTTTGTTCAATCAATCGATGTGCGATGATTCGATCCCCCAGTGGGACGCCCTGCTTTCCCTTTTATAGGTCAAGGGAAAGCGGGGGTTTACAACCGAAGGGAGGAGGAAAAAGGAAAGAGAAATAAGGCTCCCAGAGGTGCGCCGTCCTCCTCTTCGCGTGGGTCCCGCTGACCCTGTAGATCATGGTGGCAGTGGCGTCGTACCGGGGCCCTGTTGGCCGCCGCAGCTTACGTGTGGGAATCGTGCGCCATTCTTGTCTTCTGTCCCATCCGAGCGAACGGAATGGTCAAAGGGTTCCCTGACATAGGCCATACGGGGGGCTGGTGGTACAGCGCTAGTCAACTAACGCCAGTTGACTGGCGTTGGACGGTGCTCAGGCAGGGAGTTGGCAGCACAGTGCCGGCCTGTTGACGGGATGGGCGACGTGAGTCTCCCAGCATGGCCCGATGCGACCGCCAGTCGCATCAGGACGCGTCCGAGACATGTTCCCGAACGTGCGCCTCCATGCCATAATGGTTGAAGCAGTTCGAGCCCTACCCTAGGACCATTGCTATTGTCCAGTAGCAGATCCAATCCCCAAGGATCGGGCGAGGCGGAAATCTCTCCCCAAGAGCTAGGTGAGATGGAATCCGACCCCCAGGGGTCGGACGAGGCGGGGCCCTCCCCGTGGGGTTGGACGAGGCGTGTCCCTGTCCCTAGTGGTCGGACGAGACGAAAACCTCGTCCTCGGCGTCGGACGAGGCGTGGCCCGTCCCCTGGGGGTCGGACGAGACGGAAACCTCGTCCTCGGCGTCGGACGAGGCGTGGCTCGGCCTCCGGGGGTCGGACGAGGCGGAAACCTCGCCCTTGGAGTCGGATGAGGCCGTAGTTGCGTCTTTAACCATCTGATGAGGCGACATGACGCTCATTAATCCTTTGGCTCGGATACCCGGGTATAGATATCCGACAGATATTTAATTAAAGAGCCGTGTTGCTTTGAGATGCGTGCGATTTTTTAAAAAAAGGAGTATTAGGAGCAACCCTCTACCTTTTTTTGCTTAGTAATAATGACAAACTAGTTTTTTTTTATTCAGTCTTTTATTTTTTATAAAAATCTTTTAGTTGCTTTTATTTTTTTTAAATCTCTTAGTAATAATGACCGCCTAGTTGCACATTCTCTTGCAATTTTAACCACCTGGACAATTTGGAAGCAACCAAATGACATAATTTTTCGAAGAAGAGAGAAGTCGGCAGAATCCATCCCCTCTCTAATGTTATACATGATGAAGCTCTCATGTGGAAGTCTGCTGGAGCAAAAGCTTTTGACAAAATTATTGCTCTTTTTGTTACTGATGAGTAGTCCATAGCTCCACCCCCCCGAAAAAATATAGTGGTCCACTAGGATTGGGCTGTAGGCGCTACTTGCGCAAAATTCTTATCTTCTTATTAACTAGAAGTATACCCGCACATTGCTGCGGGATTAAAAAAATAGACTACTACATAGCAGGTTAAACACTGAAAGCATATGAGTATATATACACATTATAGAGATAGAGATAATGCATGAATATGTATGAACCGGTCATGTGTTGTGATATTCATAAATAATCAGAATAATAATGCTGACTGACATATCCATGCTCATGCCTACTGTAGATTATTTGAATGAAAGTTTGAGATGAAGTTGAATTGAACGTAGATATATTATAATAAGCTGCATAGGGAACAATATGAGCTGATCATATCATAAAATAAGAGTAAATATTGTTGATCAAAATATCATGGTTAATTTTAAGATCCAATTCGTTTGATCATGCCTGCCAGTGGCAGCAACAATGAATGTATCAGAGTATGACTGTATGAGAATATATATGTGTACTAGGTTCGTGCTCGTGCATTGCTACGGGATAGTTAACATTTTATACTACTAAAAGCACACGGATCGCACGATAAGAAAACAATACTGTAAAATTAAATACCAATGTTAAAGTGATATTTAATCTAAAAAGAAAAATTTATGAAATTAACACAATCATGTAGAGCGCGGCATCGCAGGCTCACAAACCCTATTGTATAGACCTTTCCGTGATGCGGCTAATATAATGTTTTATATCGGTAGGAACAAATCTCCGATATCCATTTCTTTCATGCACCAATAAATGCACAAATAAGTTCCGCCGCATCTCCATACCATCATGTACACATGTTAGAGTATATATGCAAATATTAGTGCCCACCGCATGGGTAATACTTCGTGTCTTGAAAAATCTCTCTCAAAACCTTAAAACAAAGTATGTTGTACTCACCGTATAAATATGTGTGGCTTTATCTATTCCACGCAGACATATACTGTAGAATAAGGTATCCACTTAAGTGTTTGTGTCAAGATTCGGCATCAGCAATATATAGAAATAGTTAAATCATAGATATTATTATTACAAGCGACGATGACTCTAAGTTAGTTGAGTGCCCGTGCGTTATAACGGAACAAATAATACCACCTAAGTCCATATGAAATACTACATGATCTAACTATCAAAGCATCAGAAACATCAATGTCCTAACGCCCAAGCCAACTGAGGCGCTGCGGAGAACGGAGAGGGCGGCCACGGCGTGTGATGCCAAGAACGAGGGCAAGGGCGATGGTGCGGGTGCGACGGCGAGGACAGAGAACGGCGGCGCGCGAGGAGCGAGGCCGGCGGGAGAGAACGTCGGAGGAAGGCAAGTCCACCGCCCTGGTCGACTGGCTCCCCTCGGCTTGACGAGAGCAGCCGCGACGCTCGACGGCGACGGCGCGGGTGCGAGGGCAAGCGCAGAGAACGGCGGCGCGCGAGGAGCAAGGCCGGCGGGCGATGGCGGCGCGACCTCTAGCTACCGGAGGGGAGCAGATATTGCGGCACGGAAAGGAAGGTTCTGGAGTGCGCAGAATGGGATTGGGGATTGCTGTGATTGAGGGCTCTCCTTTTCCGCTGGATGACACGGGAGCGAGCAACAGGCCGAGGGGAGCGCCGGGCGGTCTCGCGTGTGAGACGGCGAGGGAGCTTGTGAAGCCGGGCGATCATTCGAGCGAGCGAGCGGTCAAGGTTTTGTTTTGCACGAAGAGAGCGGGGGCGAGCGATGATTTGTTTCGCATGCCTGTCAATGATTCTCTTATGAATATTTTAGTTGTAGAGATTAACAAGGGGCAATAAGGGAAAGTTTTATCTAATAGCATGTTTCCATCTAACAGCATAGAATTCCTAGAAATCCCATAAATGACATGTGCCTCACCTTGGTCCTGGAGGGCGTTCCTCCGCGTATGCTTCTATGGGGGTCGTCGCGGTGGACTGCGGCAATTGGCCGGGGCTCCAAGGGCCCTTCTGTTCTCTGGTACACCTCCTGCCAACAAATTGGAAAACCTTAATACCCTCAATAAGAACTTCAGCAACATAATGAAAAGTGTCATGCTCCATGGTGCTTTTGTAAACCCTTAACTGTGTTTACTGATAGCCATGTAAAAAATATAACAAAACTTATAACAGGATGGACTGTTAAAATATAACAATTATTGCCATCATTAAAAGGTTGATAATCAACATTTCTAGGAAGGCAACAACACCACCAGTAGAAAACAAATTTCAGAACCGACATTTTGTTATACTTTTCAGAATCCGTCCATTGGATGCATAATTGTTCAGTTCTTCAGTCTCCTATCCTTCCTCACTGGCTTTGTGCAGCAAAATTGCTATGCAGCAGTAGCACCAGTAACAATAACTGAATTCTAGCAAAAATAGCATGACTTCAGAACTACTTAAACACAGGTGGCAAAACTTCTATTGAGGACACAGTGTGTCTGGCAGCAGTGCATGGAGGTGCTCAATTGCATCGAACAAAAAAAAGAGGCACTTTACACAATTTGAGAACACTGAACAATTTCTAACAATAAGATTTATATATCTAGGATAGAAAAAAAAAGGGATATATATGATAATTCTAATTTATATTTGGTCCTACATCCTTATAGAGCAAGCCAGATCACAGAGGTTTTATATAGCATACAATGAGCCAAATGGAGGGAAGAGGCCGACTCACCACCTCTTCAACCACGGTGCCAGACATGGAGCGGGCGGACCAAATCCAGTTGTTCCTGAACCGGATCCCTTCATGGCTCGTGCAGAAAAAAGTACTCAGCATCAGTTCCCTCTGCTTCAGCATGTAGCTGCTGGCTGCCGGCGCAAGGAACACCCCGGCGACGCCCGTGACCAGCGCCACTTGCTGCTGCGTCTCTTGTCTGCTCTCCGCAACTATCCCCCACCCCAAATCCTCCTCTTCCATGGCTACAACCTGCGAGCGGCGCGGCACTGCAGCGGCCTGCGGGCTACGGCGACCGACGCGGCACGGGCGCGTACCTTATTACTGCATCCAAACAAGATTTGTATGCTGCAAAAATTGCATGTCTCAACAAAACTTATCAGTATTAGCATCCACTATTTAATCTTGTGGTCTGAATCTTTTTCCCCACTTAATAAGGAGCTCTTCAATATTAGCATCCATTCTTGTACCCCTACCTCCCCACACCAACATGTGACCAAGATCACTGATTGATGATCCATCAACCTCATGAACTGCTTTGAAACCCATCCTTGTGTAAAATCTAACGAGCTGACAAAAATGAAAAAAAAGTTTCAAAAATGTGTTGCTCGAGTCCACCATGGGAAGTATCATGCATTCAAAATTTGACATCTTGTGTCGAGATCAGGCACTCCAAAAAGCAAGCATTAATTTTATGAATCTGTAATAATCTACGTCTAGTAGTTGCAGCTTCAATTTTTATCATTGCATCCACTGCCCCCCCCACCACCCAAAAAAAAGATCATTGCATCCCATTAACTAGTAGGTAAAAAATGTTATTATTATTATTCTAAAAAAAAGGGAAGGTAATAGCAAGAATGATATGGGAATTGACAAGAATAGGGACCAATGTTCAGTTTTCAAGCAAAAACGTGTGAAGTAACTATTAAAATACTGAGACTATTTGTTGTCAATGATTCTACTGCAAATAGTATTTTTCAAACTTCACGCATCCTTGCTTCTTCTCCATTTCAAACATTTGACACAAACTCAGAAAGTAAATTTACGGTCCGCAACACCACACTGCCAATACTGATCGATTTATCGACTGAATTTGAAGTCAGAACAAGTGAATTTTGACTACTACACTGCAAACTCTGAAGCTACCAAACCGTAGGAATTTCATGGCATGCCAACATTGCCAAATCAGCATGCATCAGAAGCACGTCCAGGGGATAGAGACAGAGATTATACTATACCTTGTCGTGGTAGAACGGCGTGTCGTTGATGGCGAGCAGCTCGGCGCGCCTGCAACCGGCGTCGAAGCCGTGCCGCACGGCGACGGCGCCGAGGAACATCCCCAGCCCGAACAGTGGCCGGTCCGGGACGCTCAGCGTGGCGCGCGTCATGCGCATGGAGTCAAGGTGCAGCACGGCGCCGCCAGGCCACGGCCGGACGCCACCCTCGGCGCGGCCAAGCTCCACGGCGTCCTCCCCCTCATCGCGGGTGGCCGTGACGCGGAAGAAAGGGCCGGCCGTGCGAAGGCACACGCGCAAGCCCTGCGCGCGCGACGCCGACATGATGTCCGCCATGGTCGGGAGGCGCGCGGCGGGGGCGGGCCTCGCTGGGGAGGTCGGTGCGGCCATAGGAGAGAAATGCAACAGGCTGCAGTCGGGTGGATAATGCTGACTTCACAACAATGGGATTTGAAAATGTGTATGCTAGATGGTACTGTAGTAAATTTCGGATCTAAGATAAGTTAATCACTGTTTATGAGTGTGTTTGGTTGCGTGGCCAGCAATGCAGTTTGAGCCTATTTGGTTACCTGTAAAGGCCTAGCCACTCCAGTAAGCCAAAAAGAGGGTCATGGCCTTGCTTACTAGAAACAAGTGGGCGAGCGATTCCAGCATGGACTAAGAGCATCTACAGTAGTGCTACCCAAATCGGATCTCTACTTATCTGTTTGGGTAGCCACCTATTTCAATAATACCTATTTTTTATTGTTTCCTAAAGCAGCAATATCTAAAACAGGTCATCCAAAACCATCTTCCTATAGAATGACACGTTGGGCCCACATGTCATCATGTCTCATGTTCTTTTCACCTTAGACACTGGGAGGTTCGCCGGGGAAGGGCTGCACCAGGAAGGGCCGCCGGGGAGGTGCTACCGCATCGGGTGGGTGGCCGCTCCCGCATTAGGGAGGGGCGTTGCCAGTTGCAGCGCCCACGCCGGCATGCCATTGGTTAGAACATGGGTTACTACATGATCATGTAGATGTTATGTTTTATGGTCAATGATGTTTCAGCAAATAGTAAAAAACCTTTCGTATAATGTGATCTTGATATGTGAGTCACTTGATGATTGGTTCTTGTGGTGTAATTCAACCATAAAAGATCCTAAAGAGGAGGTAAGGATGACATCTTCATGAAGATCCATAGTGTGGGTTTAGACTAAAGCGAGTCGGTCAAGTGGATGACACTCAGTTTAGCTAGATTAGCGCTCTGGACCCTCACAGTTAGGAGCCAAAATGCGTCCACAATTGTGGCAATGTAGACATTCCCCTACCCATTCAGCATTAGGGACGACAAGTGTTGTTCTTGGCAAGGCCAATTTAGCCTCACATGTAACGAGACCTTTCACCCTCCAAGACTGTTATACAAGGGCGACAGCCAGATCCTCAACATCTCGTTCGAAGCCGGTGAGATGCACGTCTTTAGCCCCATGTCTAATATCTGCTACGGCTCGTTCAATACAGTTGATTCAGATGTCCCCTTGTCACTCAACGTCACCGGCTCCCCTTCTTGTTGTTGAGCAGATATTAGAAAACCAATTCTAGAAGGTATGTCACGACCAGGGACAAACTAGGATAGGATCTGTCATTCCGCTTTCATGACTTCTTTGCGTCCATTACTTTGAAAACCGATTCTAGAAGGTATGTCATGATCAGGGACGGAAGGAGGGGGCAAAAGCCTCCCTATGTTTACGGTACTCCTTTAATTATTTTTTAGTTGGTCAACGATCATGCTAATCTTTGCGAGCAGCAAAATAGCTCATCTGATGAATGTTGTCCAACAAAAAAATATTATACTGATATGATCTGACTCATGTGAATGTGACAATGGCATTATTAGGTTGTGTTTGCCCATCACCTGATCAAATTGTAGTGCCTCGATGATGGAGGACCCAGTCGTTGGCCTACCATCACTAAAAATGACGTTGTACTCGAAGGACACATTGATACTATTGCACCCCAGTATTTTTACCCCATAGGTGACCATACAAAATCCCTGATCGCAGGACACCAGGCTCCCGCTTGAGGATACATTAGGGTTGTAGAACATCAACTGAAACTACATAGAAATGCCCACACCTCACATTCCACACCAAAATGAACATAATTGAATTAATTTCCAGTTTGAGACACAAGAAAGAAAAAGTGGGAAATGGTTAGTGATGATGAGAGGATCAGTGTTAGATTACAACCAAATCAAGCACCCCACATGGAAATCTTGATCCATAATTTCTATAACTCGTGTTAGATTACAAATTTTTAACCCCTTGACCATCAAGTATCCCAAGATCATATAATTTGCAACACATCCTAGGAACCCCTTGTACCAGATGATGAGTTATATAGTTTTCTGCTTTCAGTTACTGCTGCCTCTGAAGTAGGTGGGTGTTGCATGGAATCAGCGCATGGAGTCAAGGTGCAGCAGGCACCGCCAGGTCACGGCCAGACGCCGCCCTCAGCGCGACCAAGCTCCATGGTGTCATCCCCCTCACCGTGGGTGGCCGTGACGCAGAAGAAGGAGCTGGCCGTGCGAAGGCACGCGCGCGAGACGCCGTCATGATGTCTGCCATGGTCGGGAGGGGCGCCATCGACTTTGCGATGAGGCTCACTAGGTAGTTCGGTGTGGCCATATGAGAGAAGTGGAGCAAGGAGTGGTGGGGAGAGTGGGCGCGTCTGCACTGTGCAGTCGGATGGATAATAACTGACTTCACAACAAAAGTATGGGATTTGAAAATGTGTATGCTAGATGGCACTCTAGTAAATTATGGATCTAAGATAAGTTAATCATTATTATGGGTGTGTTTGGTTGTTTAGCTTACCCCTTGTCCATACTCTAGCAATGCACTGTGGGCCTGTTTTGTTACCTGTAAAGGCCCATAGCCAGACTCCAGCAAGCCAAAAAGAGGGTCCTGACCTGGCTTAGTTGAAACGAGTGGGGCGAGCGATTCCACCAAGCTAGGCTAGGCTAAGAGCATCTCCAACAATGCTATCAAATCAGACCCCCTACTTGTTTATTTGGGTAGCCACCTATTTCAATACTACCTATTTTTTGTTATTTTCTCTAGCAGCACTACGTAAAACAGGCCATCTAAAACCATCCTCCTAGAAAATGACATGTGGGGCCCACATGTCATCCTCTGTCGTGTTGTTCTCGCCGTAGACGCTGGGGAGGTTCACAGAAGAACCGCACCAGTGAGTTCTACCAAGATAACTAGCTAGCTTTATACTGTTACCTTGGGTAGTTAACAAATTAAGGGTGCAATATTGAACAATTGGATGCACATGTTTTGTCATTTCATTAATCTGTCTGCCTGCTGCTGCAATTTTGTAGAATCAAACAAACATTATTTTTCTTCATATACACTGAATCCATCATTCTTGTGAAAAATAAGGAGGAAGCTTAGTTTGATATATGTAAAGACCATGCAACGGGTGACACAGCAAGGAGTGTAACTGGAAGCTCAAAGGAAATGAAGAAGGAAGAAAGTAGCATTAAGGAGCCTATTTGAAATCCAAATTCAGTGATATTTTGACCTAGATAATGTTGTATTGCTTGATCAATTTTTCATTTTGGGTGCAGACTTTGGTATATGTGATTGCATGCAAGTTTGTAAAATTCATATTGATACATCGATGAATCAATATCATGGTTGGGATTCACAATAAAATGATCTATGTGCATGTCATCACGTGCCAAATTGATTTTAGTGATTAGAATCTTGAATTATTATGGCAAGCATATTTTTTGTTGGCAGTAAGCATTTACTTGAGGGCTAACCTCCAAGGAAATCACAACTACAATGGCAGCCAAGGAATCACAATTTCCTTGGAGGTGAAGGGCAGCCAAAGATACAACTATTACCTGGATGGTCTAGATAATTTTTTTAGGGGTTGTTGGCCCTCAAGGAAATTAATTTACTTGGCGGCTGTAATATTTTCTTGTCTCTTTGACGAACTAAGTATGGTCCTAATTTTCTTGGCGGCCAGCCTCGCTCCAAGGAAACCATCCTTGAGTGCCACAACCGCTAAAGAAATTAATTTCCCTTGTCTTCTATTCTTTAGTGAATTTGCTTGATGGTTTGTGGCTAAGGATCATTTCCTTGGTGATTTTGGACACTCAAGGCAATTCGGGATTGTGGTAGTGATGCCATGATAAGGTGCTACTAAATTGAAGGATCTTATCTGTCCATGAATGTGAAATCATAGATTGAACTGACGAATTGGCAAAATTTGTCAGTTTGACATGTTCTCTCTTGCCTGCTCATGGATTCGGTAGGAAATTCAAAAGCTTGGCCTATCTGGAATCTCTAGATCAATGCTTGTTTTCAACTTGCCGAAGCATTTTGTCACTTGTTATGTCCTTCCATGTGTCTTATCAATGCTTAGGGTATCTACCGTAAGCCTTTCCTCTTTTGAACCTTGCCATTAACGTTAAGGCTATGCCATCATAAGAGGCTACGATCTCTTTGTTAGTTTGTCCGAAAACTAGTCGCTTGTTGTGACGTAAGTGTGATAGTTATTCTTTGTTGGTTTGCTCGTAAACCTAGCCGTCCCTTGCCACAAAAGTGTGACAACCATCTTTCTCATTGCTTATATATTCAATAATCATTAAATAAAGACAGACAAAACCGGCCTAGTTGATTCCTAAATCTGACCCAGACAGTTTCCACAACGAGAGCGGTGAGGGGTACAGGTACTGGTTGCACATAGCATGCTCTAAGTGTGTAACGTGTTTCAGCGTCAACACCCACCTTATGGACTCCTTAGAATTCGGTATTACATTGTTAAACAATAACTAAACTTTATATGTATAGATCCCATTTATATGAACTACTTGATCCATATATACATTAACGTATCTCGCGTCGTCCGTATAGATCGGGGGCTGTCTCTCCGGAATAAAATAAAATAAAATAAAATACAGCAACCTAAGAGCTGCGACTCTAATTAAAATACACAATTGCTGGAAACTTTATATAGCTCTTCTCCACTACTCGTTCGGCAGGAGAGTTGAACTAGGAAAGGTTCGATGTGTTACAGCACTGCAAGGACATAATAAATTAAGATTAAAATACACAAGAGTTGACTAAGATCTAGCCTGCTGTGTTGACCGTGGGGAGTCTATTCAATTAGCAGTTTTTTTTTTGACAACATATTCAATTAGCAGTTGGGTATATACAATACATTCCATTGCATTTTGCTGCCTAGGCACTCAAGTTTTCAAGTCTTCCTGACTTGGGTTTGGTTATTCTAGGATGTATATTAGCTAGTGCGCTTGTAATGACCTGGATATCTAACAGT